CGATCGCGCCTGAAGGTTCTCTGTACATTTCTAGGTCAGCAATTTCACCTGCCTTGAAAGGTGCTGTTAGTGTGCAGCAATATTCCAGCCTAGATAGAACAAGTGACCTGAAGAGTGTCATCATGGGCTTGGCCTCCTAGTTTTGAAGGTTTTCATTATCCATCCTGTCATTTTTCTAGCAGATGCGATTGATACAATGTTATGGTCTTGAAGGTGAGATCCTCCGACATGATCACTCCCAGGTCTTTGACGTTGGTGTTTCGCTCTATTTTGTGGCCAGAATTTGTTTTGTACTCTGATGAAGATTTAATTTCCTCGTGTTTACCATATCTGAGTAATTGAAATTTCTCATCGTTGAACTTCATATTGTTTTCTGCAGCCCACTGAAAGATTCGGTTGATGTCCGCCTGGAGCCTTGCAGTGTCTGCAATGGAAGACACTGTCATGCAGATTCGGGTGTCATCTGCAAAGGAAGACACGGTGCTGTGGCTGATATCCTTGTCTATGTCAGATATGAGGATGAGAAACAAGATGGGAGCGAGTACTGTGCCTTGTGGAACAGAGCTTTTCACTGTAGCCGCCTCAGACTTTACTCTGTTGACTACTACTCTGTGTTCTGTTTGTGAGGAAATTGTTTTACCTGGAGTTTACCTGGAGAGTTCCGGGGGTCAACGCCCCCGCGGCCCGGTCTGTGACCAGGCCTCCTGGTGGATCAGAGCCTGATCAACCAGGCTGTTGCTGCTGGCTGCACGCAAACCAACGTACGAGCCACAGCCCGGCTGATCAGGAACCGACTTTAGGCGCATGTCCAGTGCAAATCCATCTACCAACTTTTCCTGTTATTCCTTTAGCACGCATTTTGTGCGCTATTACGCCATGGTCACACTTGTCAAAGGCTTTTGCAAAGTCTGTATATATTACATCTGCATTCTTTTTGTCTTCTAGTGCATCTAGGACCTTGTAGTAGTGATCCAGTAGTTGCGACAGACAGGAGCGACCTGCTCTAAACCCACGTTGCCCTGGGTTGTGTAATTGATGGGTATCTAGATGGGTGGCGATCTTGCTTCTTAAGAGTTGGGAGATTTTCCAGTCATCAATTTTCAAAAGCTCTTCCTGGAATTGTTGGGAAGTTGGATCAGGAGGCTTGTATACAGCCTCAATGACAAGGTTTTGGTTTTCAATCTTTACTGAAAAAATTTCCGTCGCATCTGAATAGGTTCTAACCTGGGATCCATATTTCGATGTCAGTGATCCTTTATGTGGGTCTCTGTGAGCAGTCCACTGATTTAATTTTTTGTTGTTGTTTGTTGATGGCTTTAGACCGTATATTTCCAAAGATAAATGTTAGTCATATTGATGAAATGTAGGGGGCTTTGTTTGCTGTTTTTTTCCCTGGCACAAAAAAGACCTGTCTGGAGTGGTTGTGGCTACCCTGGTTAATTTTCTATGGTCTTAGTGATCTGTATCTTCTTGTCCCTTTTAGACGGTGTGCCTGACAGTATGCAATGTCTTTCATGGACTGGCGAGTAACACATTTCAGGGTGAAATAAATTACAAGAGTAGGATTCTTCAGTTGTCATGTGGGTGTGGCATTTTTTTGTACGTCCCACCTGTTTTTCCAGATATTCCATGCCTGTAGATACTCAAGGCATAGAATTGCTCTCTGTTTGCCAGGATTTTTTGTGTCTGTGTTCCCTACTGCTACATTTTTTCCGACTCCTCACTGTCTACAGCACTTGTACTAACATCAGGGCCTCCACTAATTTTTGCTGGTAATGTATCAACACTATTCCCCGAAGCATCATCCCCAGTATCACTGCTATTTTGCAACTCTGGAATTCGCATATCTTTGGCTATACCTGTTTCCCCAGCACCAGGACCCCTGGTGCTGGGGCTGGGGAAACAGGTATGGTGCTGTATTCTTACAAGTACTGTCCTCCAAGACAGCACCAGCACCAGGGGTGATAGCTTCCATCTGACCCTCTCCTTTTACTTTTAACTGGCAAGTTTTCTAAGGAGGATATTTAGGTGTTTCTGTATTTTAGTACAGATGTAATTTTTTGGAAGGGCAGACCCAAAAACATTTTCCTGATTTAATATCATTAGTTGATGATTGTTGAATATCTACACACGATCCATGAAACCATTTTCACAGAAGTTACATGCATCCCAAGTGAGACCTTGCTTATTACGACTGTTGTAGATTACACAAGTTTTCATGATGGTACTTTTTTTTAGTGTTGTATATACATACTGTAGTTTGTATATTTTGTGTATTTTATACTTATTTTCCTCATTAGAGTCACCAGCTGAAGTATGGTACACGTCTGGCTCATGGCTCGCTGCTTGCAGTAGACGACCCAGGTCAAGCAGGGGTTTGGTGGATGCTGCAGCTCCTCCCGCTTGAAACAACTACAGAAAAACAATGTGCTCAAATGGAAGGGTTTAAGATTATACCGAGTATAATTAGGAAGCAGCAAATTTTAAATTGTACTTCTTTTTATCTTCTTTTGTGCTGCCTAAGTGGCTACTGTCTTATGCACCCCATGCCCAACCTGAGAGAGGTTGTGCAAAAGAACCGGATTACAGAGCTAACAGTGGATCTTTGCGAGAGACTACTGCGCATACCTACAATATCTACATAACACATGTAGATACAATCTCGACAAAACATAAATGTTATCATTTCCACTGAAAACTTTAGTCATTTGGTAGGTTATAGTCTCATCAAATAACAGTTCATTCATCTAGCCGGTGTAAAATGTGGACACAATTCCAAATTACCTGGTATCTTAGATCATCAATAACAACAAAGAGATTTGCTATTTTCCTTAGACCAGAGGTTTCATCATGTCTGATAAGGGATAATAAGATTTAGCTGTCTATTAGACTGGGTGCCATATAGAATCTAATAGATTTTCTTGTAAATATAAGGACACAAGTCTACAGTAAATATATCATTCTTATGTTAGTTCATTTGATGAACATGGAGTCCCTACTGTTAAGAATTTTATACATTGTAAATATTCCTGGGTATAATGTCTTGTTTTATCTATGTCCTCAAACTTAATGTTGTTGTTGTTGTTGTTGTTGTTTTTGTTATTGTTTTTATTGTTATTATTTAGTACACACCAATAAATATATATAGGTGATTCTTTTCACTTTGCCTTTAAGTTATTTATATTTACCTTTAATAGCTTCTGGATTTTAATCTTTCTATATTTCCGATTCATTCTTCCTCCCTAGGAATGCTAATAAAGAGCTCTAGCCACAATTTAATATCATCCAAGAACCCTATGAAAACAAGTTAGAATCTTGTGTGTTGTAATTAGGGCATTATGTGACACGTCCTGCATGTACCATATTATTATTATAATCATAACCTAGCGTTAAACCCACAAGGGTCTTACAGCGCTGTGCATGTACCATACTCCCTAATATTTCTTTAAGTTGGGTAAATAGACACGTGCAACTAATATTCTTCTTGCAACACACCGGCCATATCCCACTGAAGCATTATTATAATCAAAGAAAGTGCTAAACCGACAAGGGTCATACAGCGCTGTCCCACCAAAGCAGGGTGGCCCAAAAAGAAAAACAAAAGTTTCTCTTTTTAACTTAGTAATGTCTACAAGAGAAGGGGTAGCCCCTTGCTCCTGGCATTTTAGTCGCCTCTTATGACACTTACGGCTTATGGAGGAAGAATTCTGTTCCACTTTCCCATGGAGAAACTATTATTATCATCAAAATTAAGCAGTAAACCATGTGCAACTAATAAAACATTTATTGTGGCTGTTTTGCTCACCAAAACATAGCCATAGCCATTATCAGTGTCTCATTAATAACACATTCATTCGTGTAACATTGTCAGTAACATTCTCATTTCCTTTGTGTTTGGAGGGTGTAATGCTTACAAAAAAAAAAAAAGTGCAAAATACGCCTTCATTTCCACATTTCGCTCTAAATACAGTGTTTTCAAGCTTGAAAAACTTATAGAGCAAAATGTCTCAAGACTTGCTCTGTATCTCGGCATCTTTCCTCCACATGATCTGCTCATCTTTTTTACACCATGTACTATATTACACTGTTATGCATTTTCCTTGCAAAATGAGCATGTGGTGGTTGTTGTTCACATCGCATGGTTGGTCAGGTTAAGACCAGTATCAGGATGGGTGACCATATGCTCACTACCTCATCTTTGGCAAGTAGTGCATCCAGAAGCCTTGTACAGTATAAGAGGGATGCAGTAATGAACACCTGCTCCAACAGTGCACTGCTAAGATTTTTCTTCAAGTACAATAATTTTGATCCATATAGAAGGAAGACACTAAGTTTAGACTGTTCACGAGTATTATTATTATTATTATAATAAAAAAAGAAGCGCTAAGCCATGTTCACGAGTAAATTCGAAATTTTAATGACATTGTTAATTGTGCAGTCATAATATTGATGGAATACAGTAGAGACAAGTTGATGAATAAAACACATTTGTCACATTTGGGTATCTTTATTGCAATGAAGATACCCAAGTTTTGCAAATGTATCTTATTCATCAATATTGGAATCATTGGATTCAGAATACTTACTAGATAATCCTCCATTTTTATAGGCTTCACACTTTGTATTTATGGCCACTTTTAAAAGAATGCTTGGCTTTCACTTTCAGCAATGTAAATTTGAAAATGCCAGTTTTAGCAAATAAATTGATTTCCATTCAATAAACTAGAAAATAACTCCTGGTTGACTTCAAACACTTAAGTACGTGTATCAAAATTGCAAGTGTTTTTGTATTGAATTTGGGCTCTGAGTGTGCCAATTTACCAGATTTACAGAATTGTTTCAACATGTCAGTTATAGTAATCAAATTAGTTTCTGTGAAATAATAAGAGAATTTTTCTTCTGATCAGAAATAAGTCAGTGTTTGAACTTATTGGGTTATTCTAGGTTAAATCTAAATAATGGTACTTTTTTTTGTGCCTATAAAAGCTAAATTGTTTATATACCCAAAACTTCAATAATACTTAAGAGCAAAAACTGGATTGTTTTTGGCCTGTAACGGTCACAATTAGCTTTATTTTTTAGTGGAGGGAGAGGGAGAAGAAAATGGGAAAAATTTAAATACAGTTCTGCTTTTCGTGCTATAATTTCTGAATGTTGCACCCTATTAGCTTTAACCCTTCCATACTGATTACAAACTTGTGTTGCGTTCTTCACTATTCCAATTGCAAGCATGGAGGTAGAGGAGGCTGGTGCTATGCAATATGAGTATACCTTTTTTTTTTTTTTTGTTTGTCCTTATTAGACATTGCACCTTCGGTGGCGTTGAGCTGGAGAGGAGGAGAGGTATACCTTTCTTAGATTGCTTAGTGCCCAAAATACAGCTAGTTTTGTGCAGGGTGCATAGGTAAAGGCTTCAGTCATATGACCTTAGTTAACAGGTCATCATATGACTAAAGACCCAAATCAGGAATAATTATCCAGTTTCCTGAGAAATAAAACACCACAGCAACCACATCACTTCTCAAGTTCCAGCTGTTAAGTATAACATTTAAAGTATGGGACTCATTAGTATGAGAAGTAAAATTCAGGACAGTAGATTCCCAGATGGGTAGCATCTCAGGATGGATAACATCTTAGGAAACTACGAGAAAATGAACAGGCCATGGCCATTGTCATTACTCATTAAACTATTATTACTTATTATTAATACCCATTAAATTTGTTACTGTATACTACTATAAAAATCAATATTTTTTAACATTTAAAACCTATGAATTAAAAAAAAAAAAAAAAAATTGTGACCTCCAGTGGGCTATTACTCCACTCCCCTCGGTACAGGCAAGGATGCTTCCTTAAATTGGTGTAGGCAAGGATTGCGACCCCCTCGTACAGACAAGGATGCCTACTCGCGACTGGCGGCTCATCTATATTGAAGCGGATGGCGGACTCTCCGTACTGCCCTTGGTGTCCCTCACAGCCTGAGATGGTGGAACACTTCCTGCTGTGGTGCCCACGTTATCACTCTGCACGGACTACTCTCCGTGCGGCCTTGCACACACTTGGGGTGCACACTTTCACTCTACCTGTCCTCCTCAACGAGGAGGGGTTTCGCCCTCTGGACCGTCAGGAGATATTGGCTTGTACCTGCTCCTTCCTGCTGTCTTCAGGGTGTATCAGACACATATGATACATAGTTATTAGTTGACATTCTTCCACTTTGGTCGATATTCCCTCTCCTAGCACTGGACGGCCGGGCTCAATACGGTGTATACTGTCAGTGGCCCTGAAACCCAACAGAAGAAGAAGAAGAAGAAGAAGAAGACAAGGATGCCCATGCAATTCATTATTATAATTTAAAGCTGTATAACCCTTGTGGCTTAGTGCTTCTTTTTGATTATAATAATAATAATTATTATAATTTAAAAAATGAAGCGCTAAACCTACAAGGGTCATTACAGCGCAGCAGGGCGGAAGAGTGCAGGGATATTGAGTAGCAAGAGGGAGAGGTATTATAATTAGGTCATGGAGTGCAGCAGGGCAGTGGATAGTGCAAGCATAGAGGGTAGCATTAAATTGAGGTAGAAGGGGATGTGAGGAGTGTTAGAGGCATCATCAGAGTTTGTGCAGTAAATCAGTTGCTGTCAAAAAGTCAACCAGAGTGTCTGGGTTAAAGGAGGGTCCATCAGCAAGAAGGGAAGGTAAAGTATGGGCAGTAGAGAGGTGACGATGTTAGAGGTAAATTCTGCGTGCTCATTGATAGAGTCAGCAGTCCAACAGAATATGGCTAACAGAAACTGGAACCTGACAATTCTCACAGAGTGGAACAGGACACCTCTCCATGAGATACCTGTGAGTAAGACGAGTGTGGCCGATGTGAAGACGGGAGAGAGTAGTTTCCCAACCTCGACACTGATGACAAGAAGATGGCTAGAAACCTATATGTACGTACTTGGTTTAATAGAAAGCAATTTGTTATGTAGCAGATCAGACCAACGGTGCTGCCAACGGGTGCAAAGGTAGGTAGTAATTACGGCAAAATAGTCTGTGAATGGAACACCTCTATACAAAATTGGGAGGTCATGTACTGCTGACCACGCAGCAGTCTCTGCCTGTTCATTGCTCTGTATGTCAAACATGACTGGGGACCCAACAAAAAACAATCTTTGTGGTTGCATGAGATACAGCATAACCAAAGTTGGATACGAAGAATCAGAGGATGAGGTATATCAAATTTTCTCATAGATTATAAAGCACTAAGAGAGTCTGAATGACCACAAATAGTGACACAGGCATAGATGCAATACTGATAAGTGCTACAATAATGGCATAAAATTCAGCCATAAAAATGCTAACTGAGGATAATAAATGCCCTCACATTGTCCAGAAACACTGCTGCAAATCAGTCACCGTCAGAAGACTTGGAACCATCGGTGTACACTGCGATGGCATGAAAATGAGATCGGAAGTGGTTAAGAAAAAGTGAGCCAGAAGCCATTGTAGGCAGTTGGGCTTTCGTGCATGGCAGTGGGAAAGAACAGACACAAACCGTCGGACCTTGTGAGGTTTCCAGGATAACCGATGGTCAAACAGAAGGCCGAGGAACCTGACCGTATCACATTCTGGGATATGCAAGCCATATAGGTACAATGGATTATCAGAGAAGACAGAATGCCTTGTAAAAGTAATTTGGTGAGTTTTAGTACTAGAAAATTTAAACCCATGAGTAATGGCCCAATTGGTAACAGTTGACTGCATGCTGGAGGGAAATTGCAATGAGGTGACAGTCAGTGCCTGCACAAGCTATAGCAAAGTCATCAACATAGAGTGATGACCAAATACTAGATGGAAGAATAGATGCTGGATCATTTATAGCAAGGAAAAAAAGTGCTGTGCTCAGAACATATCCCTGGGGGACACCTTCAACTTTCACAAAGTCTGAGGAAAGCTCATTATTAACAAATGTGGAAATGTCTTGCAGTTAAGAAGTTCTTAATGAAAAATGGTTGATTGCCTCAGAGGCCTAAGGAGTGGGCCTGGGCCAAGATGTTATATCTCCAAGTTATCATATGCCTTCTCAAGGTCAAAAAAGATGGTGATAACTGAGTGGTTATTGGCAAAGGCATTACGAACGTAAGTATCCAAGCATAGTAAGAGGTCAATA